CGTAGCCGGTTTGCGACGTTGTAGGCAATCTCGAGAACATTCGGTCGCTCATGCTTGGCGACTTTGTTGTTGAATGGGGAGATGATATCATGACGGCGTGCCTGGTAATATGGCATATCTATCGTAACCACTTGTAGCCTCATCCTTTATGAAAACATAATAGTCTGAATGCAACGTTCAAAACTCTGTGGAAATTCTGTATCACTTAGTTTGTCGCATTGGAGGTTTAAAAGCGTAGGTCATACTGCACATAAGACTTCCCTAATCACGGCGTAGCGCGCGCGCGTTAGAAACCATTCCGAATGCTCTGGTACGTTATGTAAGCCCATAAGAATGGTATTATTGGCACACAAGATGAAAATAACCGCGTATATAAGAAAACAACCAAAAGAAATCGCTACAAACCCTCCACTACCTAACCAAAAAAAAAAAAAAAAGATCCCCGGTATCGATCCCAAGAACCATCCCATCCAACCCCGAAAACCACCCTACCCAACCCATTCCACCGAGATACTCTCATACACACCCAATCAAACAACCCCAATCCTCAATCCCCACCCTTCCCCTTACAAACCCCACCACCAAAACACTCCCAACATCACAAATCTCACAAAAAAAATCACATCACCCCCCACCCCCCGGCAACTCCTCCAACCACCCATCCACATCCTCCACGACCTTCCTCCCCACCGTACACTTATTCGCCGACAACGTAGACTGCATTTTCAGCGTCAAGCAATTGACTTGGCAATTCCTGTCCATGGCACGTTGCAACGCATCGCCCTGCCAGCCGAACACGTAATCGCCGTGGGTGCCGTAGCCTGTGGCGTCGCCAGTGGAGAAGATGAAGGGTTGGCTGCCGTCTTGGGGCCAGTCGGTGGGGTTGTTGAAGGCGCGGGTGTCCCATGCGACCTGGGGAGGGTTAGTTGGGGGAGGAATTGGGAGGTGGGGAAGGGGAAGGGGAATGAGATTGGGGGACTATGGGGTACACACCTCGTATAAAATCTGTGGGATCTTGATGGGATGGGTCGTTGGACATGCAGCGCCGCTTTCGAAAGTCCCGTTTACGGGATACGCGACGTGGCTCTTGTGGTCGGGACTATCGAGATTCGTTCCATCCCAGCATCTACGTGACGTCAATTGCACTTCTTTTTTTTCCTCTCTTTCTCTATCCACCCCCACCTTTCTCAATGAGCATGAGAGTTCAAACACTCACGTCGGGAAAAAATGATTCGCCCTAATCCCCCCCGGACACACCTTCTGGGGAAGAACCTTCGTATCCCCATTCGTTCCCGGCGCACCAACATCCCCCGAGAACCCCTCGCCCCAGCACCGGAAACTCAACATGCGGGAATCGCCATCCTTCATATCTTGGCGACGCGTGGGGTCGCCGACGATCATGCGGAAGCCCTGTGTTTGGGATTTGTATGGGATATGGGATCCGGGGGGGAGTATTGCTCACCTTTTGGAATGCCGAGACTTTTGTTGTGCCGTCGTAGGGCGCGATGTAGTAGACAGTTATACCGCCGTTTGCTGGCTCGAGGTATTGGTTCGCGAAGGTGGGGACGCGTTTGTAGGTGCCGTTGCGGGCTTTGAAGAATAGGACTGCGGTCCAGTAATTGCTATATTTCCATGCATCAGTTCCCTTTCAGCTCACCAGCTCGTTACGCTTAGTAGCCGTACCTGAAGTCCTCGGTGAATTGGCACGAAGTACATGTCGCGATGCTTGGGAGATCGTTGTGGGGGTCCATGGTCGTGTTCAAAGCGTTCCCGCCGACAAGTTGGTGCAGATGTGGTGATGGGGCTTGGCCGGGATTCACGAGTCTTGCGGTGTTGGTTAGGAAGGGGTCGATGAGATGTGGTTTGGACTCACGGGTCGATGCGGTCGGTGACGAGGGTCGAGCATGAAAAACGTAGCATGGCGTGAGCGGGCGCGATGAGCGCGAGTGTGAGGATTGTTGGCCACTGCATTGTGTGAAGTCGATGATAATCGTCGTGTATCGATGAGACTGGGATGAAATCTGGAAAAGGTAACAACGCTATATCGACGAAGGGTACGCGATGGGGAGCCACGACTGCTTATTAGTGTACATGGGCGTATCTCTACAAGCAGTCCACCCCATCCACCATTTCCGAACGCCTGGTTCTCTTTGCGCATCCTTCGAATCATCAGTCGAGAAGGGTTTGTTCTGGGGTCGCACGTTATCTATTGTGCAAAGGTTCGAAGAGGCATATATTGGGACGAGTCTAGCATTAATATAACCACCCCTGTTATCCGCTCGCTACCTTTGAGTATACACTATAAAGGCCCCACGCATTACCGGTTCTTCACATGCCCCACATGAGGTTTCGAATTTGGGAACAGTGAACGACTATGTTGGGGTGGGTATGGCATTCCTGTTCACTTGCCCATCTCTCACCTGGCAGCGCAAAGGACTACATTGTATCACGATTTTTGACTGTTTCCGCCGAACTATACCTAACAAGCTCAATCACTATTCTTCTTGAATGGCGAATCTTGCTTAGCCACAGTTGACCTGAGCTCCTTCTGTGTTGTGGAAGGACATGTTACAACGGCACTAGCTCGTCGAGCGCGACTTACCACCCTACTAGAAGAAAAAGAAGCAATTACCTACACTGCTCCTAGTGGGTTGGGAACGTCGCGTGTTGCTAAGTTTTCACATGCCTTTGTTTGGATACATAATCATGGTAATCACCGACGACTGACGGTTCCTCCATCAACAAACTGCATACGTTTATTCGCCAAAGAAACGCTTCGTATCGTTACTTGTTCCAGAATTATTATTGCCCGTCTCAACACTCGAGCTCGCCATACTCTCGCTTTGACAGTCTCTCCGAAGCGGGCGCGCTTTCTTACATCAACAAGCACATCGGTCGTCTAAGGGTCTCGCTTCAGGCCCCCAGCCTTTTCCAATATGCCTAACTCACTACTTTTCTTGGAAATGTCCCCTCTATTACTCGTCTTGCTAGCGGCGATATCCGCTCTCACGGCAGTTATGGCTAAGAAGACTAATCCTAGTCTGTCGGAGCCTTTCTGCGAAAAGACGGTTAACGGCCGTACCGCGAAGCTCAGCAACGCACCACTCTACTCGATCTTGTGCTTGTTCGCAACCAGTACCTTCATTCCCATACTCCTGACAAGGTTTACGCGGATGTCTCGGCAGAGTTGTATTGTCATCTTCGTCAAGTGCTGTGGACATGTGATGTTCTTTGTCGCGATTCGTCATGTTAGTATTTCCCTATTGTGTAGGGAATTCTGTTTCTTACCATTTTGTAGTCTTATACACGTTCGATTTGCATGTTCGCCGATGACTATGCCGGCGACTTCAAATACGATATCGTAATCCAGACCGTTTTCTCCACTTGTATATATCTATTGGTGGCAGCCGAATCAATTATCGCAAGCCTCGCTCCGGAGGAACAAGATAAAAGTGTCGACACAGCGGATACCGATGTCTCGCCCGCTATCCCAGTTGATTCTGATTAGAGCGATCCTTCGGAATCATCCGAAGGGATCGAGGGTTAAAAGACCTAGCCATCGTTACACACTCTTCGATCAAAGGTTCGGATAATATGGATACGTTGATGGAGGTATTGATCTTGGCTTCAATTGCTGTGCTCGAGAAGTGGACTTGGGGGTTTCATTGGCTTTGAACGCAATGGTTTCTTTACTTCCATGTTTTTGCCTCTCTTCATGTGCTATTAGTGTTTAGTCGACTGGGATAGTTACGACGTGTATTGTTTTCCTGGGATCGGCACAAGATAGCTACTATCCCATTCTTAATAGTACACATTTCCTCCACCAAACCATCATTAGATACCCAACCAACATCAGCGGTTCTACCCCCTTGCCTCCCAACCCACATCCTACAATATTTTCCAATGCCGTGCACCAACCTGCCACGACCCTACAATACCAGATTCCCAAACGTCGTGATCCCCAAAATGCGCCACACAATCCAGTCTACTCCATCCTTACCAGATCCCCGAACCACCCACACGGTCTCACGCAGCCCTTCAATCCAAGCTTTCCCAGACTAGAACCGGGACCTGGTTTCAGGAGCCTGCATTCCTCGCTTACCAACATCACGCTGTGGAATGCACGCTACACGGACTATCCGCAACAGGAAAGCAACACAAAACCTTCGACAAAGAAGACACTCTAGAACCGAGACCAGCTTCGCAGGAGCGATACGAGGTAAGTAAGACATCGGTGAGATAGGCGTAGGTTAGTAAGAATAAGCTATACAAATCATGTCTTTCACTCACCACCCATAATTCCTTCCACACCACCGCAACTTCCTCACCATGAAGTACCCCACTCCCCTCCCCTCCTCACTCTCCTCTCCCTAGCCCTCGCCATCCCAACCTCCCCCTCCCCCTCCCAACATACCACCTACGCCCTAATCAACACTTCCAGCTCCGAAGGTTGCGACTACGACCCCTACCACAGCCAGCGGCGCGAAAATCTCCCCAAAGGCACCTTTATCGAAGCGACGTGTCGCTCCACGGGTAGGGCGCTGGTCGGTGGCACGAATGTCTGGATTTGGATTGCTGGGAGAGCATGCTGGGTTTCAACCAAGGGGTTGAATGAGGGGGTAAGACTTGGGATTTTTCTTGTAGGGGTTGGAGGGGGATAGGGGAGAGCGATTGGGGGCTGATGTGTGTTGTAGATGGGTTGTCGGCTTGTGATGGATTTTGAAAAGGAGGGGTACTTGCGGAGGTTTGGGGGGATGAAGGGGGATATGGATTGCGCAGGAGATAGTTGTGGGAATTAAATACATGGCTTAATGTACCGAGGATTCGCATGTTTACGTTTCTATTTAGGTTGGAAGTTCTTTAAGAATCCATTCCTTCTTCTTTTGCTCACCAAAAAAGAAGTCCGGTTCTAAACCTCTATCTATCTTCCCGCTCTCCTATAACCCAAAAATTCGAAGTGAACCAAAAAAATTACCCCAGCCCCAATCCGGAAGCAAAAAAGGAGTGAACCAGAATCGAACTGGTGACCTACAGGAGAGCTACAGAAAGTACTGCAGCCTGCCGCTCTACCCCTGAGCTACCACTCCGGGGATTCGTCATTTTTCTGAAAATGATGCAATTTTACCAGTAAACTTGTATATAACCAGATAGGATGCATACGAGGAAGACTCCTGTAAGTGGAAGTTACGTCTCAAAGAACTAATATTAGTCATGGAAAGCAGCAGGCGGGGTAGCGGTGATTTTGTGGAACTCGCTTAGGCTAGGTCAGATGTTGAGTCATCCCAGGGTTGATTAATATATGATTAATACACCAAGGACTCGTGAATTTGGGTGGGAGAACGAACGGAATTTAGCGTGTATGTAGAGGGGAGTGAGCATCCATAATTATTGCGAGGAGGTATATAGAAGCCTGGTTTCGGATTTACTAGTCAGAATTCTTCTCGCTATATACACCCTACCACATGAGGAGTCGACCTACCATCCCCCAAGCTTTCTACAAGTACAATTGACAAGCCGACTCTGGACTTGTACGTCTATAATACAGAGCAGCAACAAAGCCTCCCGGAACGAGCTACTCATCCCTTGCCTCTGCAATATAATCCACGCCCTCATTATGCTCTCCCACCTCTTCCGTCTTAGGCAGTGTTCCCGCAAGTATCCACCAAATAGCCAGCGACACCGACGAAAACACCAACAACACCCACCGAAACACGCCAATTCCTAGAGAATCCACCACGGCCCCGATACCGAACGGTAAAGCAGCGCCGCCGACTTGGCCAACAGAAGACACAAGGCTCACAGCCTTGACATGCAGTTCCTTTGGTAAAAGCTGCGTCAACACGACAATACCGCTAGGAAACAATGGCCCCATGATGAATCCTAATGAAGTCATCAGAACGATGGAAATGATCGGTGAGCGGATCAGGGCGAACAGGAGTTGCAATACAATAGCGCAGGCGAGGTATATCGCTGCACCCTTCCTCGCACCGATCTTATCAGTGAAGTGGCCCAGAGCAAGGCGTCCGATTGCCATGCCAGCCCAGTACCCGGATGAAGAGATGTTGGAAAGGTAAGGTGTGGCGTGGCGTGCGTTTTTCATGAACAGAACTATCCAGCCGGAGATGGTGGTCTCGTTTCCGACGTACATAAGGAAAAAGAGGGCGCTGATCCAGAGCGCGGGATGGGAGAGTATGTCGGTCTTGTAGGAGGATAGAGTGGGGGCGGTTGGGATGAGGGTTGGGGTTATGGATTTCCCTTGACTATAGGCCGATGCGGAGGAGTGACGGAAAGCGATGAAGAGGATTAGGAGTTCGAAGAGGGATGCGATGGCCTGCGGTTCGGCGTTAGCTTTGCGTGACTCTTATACGTCGCCAGTTAAACTACACCATGTTCTCACTTCACGTTCGAGCTGAAGCCATCACTTACCAGAATCCAATACCATACCCACCAGTTTACGTTGTGCGCCATCAGTTCCGCAAAGATAAACGGACCGAGCGCGGCGCCTGTCGAGTAACTCCCGTGCAAAAATCCGCTCACTCTATTCGCCCTGCTTCCCATCGCTGCAGCCATTGCGCACCAAGACCCATCGAGCAGCCCCGTTCCCATGGCCATGATACCTGGAAATTAACAACGTCAGTAGTGTCCGCAACGAGAAGTGCTATTTTGTGTCCAGAAGATAGCATCAGTGAGAGCTACGCGCGGAACCAACGCAACAAGCAAATTAAAAAGTACTCACCCCAGCCCGCAAGCGCACCGCCAAAATTCCCCGGCCTGCACGCAACCACCACCGCCGATAAAACATGCAAAAGCGGTCCCATAATAGCAACACCCCGCTGACCAAACCTCGCATGAATCGTCGAGTTCAGCGAAGCCGAGAGTATATACCCTACCGGCGGGACAAGAAACAACGTGCTCCCTTGCAGATAGGTAAGATGGTAGTAAGACATCAAGGGTCCCAGCATGACGCCCGTCGAGGCTGTGAAAAGACCGAGTATAACGAACGAATACATAGTTGCCGCAATTCTGAAGGCCTGACTGCTACCCTTACGATACCCATCTCCATTGACAAAATCTGGAGAACCTCCTCTTTCAATTGCAATGTTCTGCGCATCGATGATAGGCGGTGAGGATACGATGAGCGGCGTTGTTTCTGAGGCGGTTGGATGGGCCATGGTGTTTGGCAGACGGCCTATCGGGCCTCTGCGTAACCCGAAAAGGGAAAAAAAATCACGATACTTGGAAGTCTCACAGCATGTATCGCGAAATCATAGGATGCGGAGATGTTTGTGAGGCTCGACGCGTGGAAGTTGTCACCGCTATGGTGGCGTCTATAACCTAACTTGAAACGGGAACGTTCGTTTCTTTGCCGTCGGGACGACTTCCGGCCAATTGAAAATGACGCATTTCCTTGTGCGTGAGACGGGGAGTCTGAAGATACTGTTTGTGTTTGTTCGGTTGCGAGCATTGCATAAGTTATCTACAGAGGAATGGAGTAACAGTGCCTGGTTACTTAAATTGGGTCGACAACGAAGTCGGACTTTGGTAGTCCCCGGAGGTATGGTCCGTGCGCTCATTCGGGCCCGAAGGTCTTCACCAATCGTATTTCGCGTCCGAGTATGCTGAAAACCACCCCAAAGGGAATGAGCGAGAAATTCGGTGCTTGCGGGCAGGAATATGGTTAATGGGATCTATATATAGTATAATGAGGATTGTTTACTTCCTTCACCATGAGCATCTTTCTTTCTCCATCAGTTTCCTCATATTTTACTAGCTTGGGCATTTTGCTCCCCTAATACCCGTTCTCAGACTCAAGAGCTATTCTACACTCTTGTTCGGAATCTCCAGACAATCCACCTCCAATATGGTCGCTCACGGCACTTCAGGGGAGAAGCCTTCCATCGAAGACTCCCTGTCCTCAGAACCGACGCCCCCTCAAAACACGCACGAATATCCGTCCACTGGCCGCACATGGCTGATCATGTCAACATTGTATCTCACCATGTTTATTGTCGCTCTAGTACGCTGCTATTTCTCCACTTCAAGCTCTTCAACTAACCTGTCCCAGGATAAGACTATCATCGGCACGGCAATCCCTCGTATCACCGACGATTTCCACTCGCTCTTGTCAATCGGTTGGTACGCGTCCTCGTACCTGTTGACGTTATGCGGTTTCCAACTCCTATGGGGCCGTATATACACCTTCTACCCAGCGAAGACATGTTTTATCATCGCGCTCCTGATCTTCGAAGTCGGTTCTGCGATGTGTGGCGCCGCACCTACATCTAATGTCTTCATCCTCGGCCGAGCTATCGCAGGCTTAGGCAGTGCTGGAATTATGAGTGGATCAGTGATCGTGATGATAGAGACGGTGCCTTTGGAGAAGCGTCCGGGCTTCCAAGGATTGCTGGGCGGAACATTCGCCATTGCATCAGTTGTTGGACCATTGCTAGGTGGTGTCTTCACCGAACACGTTAGCTGGAGGTGGTGTTTCTATATTAACCTGCCTTGCGGTGCCGTCGCGGTAGCTATCCAGCTTTTGGTCTTCAAATCACCGGCGAAAGAAAAGAAACGAGTCTCTTTGGCACAGCAATTCCGACAGCTGGATCCTATCGGCATGGTATTCTTCCTTCCTTCCATTATATGTCTACTGTTGGCTCTTCAATGGGGAGGTACGACGTATGCGTGGTCCAGTTGGCGTATCATCCTTCTCTTGGTTCTTTTCGCAGTCCTGGCCATCGGGTTCGTGGTGGTACAAGTCTGGATGCCTGAAACTGCTACCATCCCATTACGAATCCTCAAGCAACGGACCATCGCCGCAGGTGCGTTTTACAGCTTCACCGCCTATTCGAGTATGTTTATTATCACATACTACATTCCGACATTCTTCCAGGCTCTGAAAGACTTCTCACCCACCGAGTCCGGTGAAGCACTACTCCCCTTCATTGTGGCCCTGTTCATCGGGGCAATAGTTGCTGGAGGGCTGGTACAACATCTTGGATATCCGTCTCCATTCATGATCCTGTCCTCGATCATTCTCACAGTTGGCGCTGGGATGATATCCACGTGGTCTGTGACCGTCGGCAGCAACCGCTGGATTGGTTTTCAGTTCATCGTGGGGCTCGGGACAGGGCTGGGAATGCAGCAACCGAACTTGCTAGCGCAAATAGTTCTTCCAAAGGAGGACGCAGCAATGGGTGTGACCCTCCCGTTCTTCGCACAAAACCTTGGCGGGGCAGTGTTCGTCAGCGTTGCGCAGAACCTGTTCACGGTTACCCTGGCTACGCAAGTGAATAAGATTCCAGGCGTACACGTCTCGCGCCAGGAGATTGTAGAGATGGGTGCGACCAGCATCCGAAATCTGGTACCAGAGGGGATGGTCGGGCTCTTTTTGGATGGCTATAGAATTGCGATCCGGAACGTTGTATACCTCGGGGTTGGATTGGCAGCTGCTAGCATAATAGGCTCCGTTCTGGTGGAGTTTAGAAGCGTGAAAGAAGGTAAGACTGATGGAGGTGAGAAGGGGGGGAAGGAGGCGGTCGACAAGGCGGATGTGTGAAAGGCGCTCGGTGTTTGAGTGTTGGCCTGAACTACTGTATTTGCACATAATGGGATAATTCCTACTTATATAGACTTGTACAAAAATCAAGTAGCATGCTTTTCTTTCCAAGATATGCTCCGCTTTTGCAGTCCTAAGATGGATTTCCCGAACTCTCCCGAAGGCTGCCGCAAGACCACGTTGGGCAACGACTTCTAGGATTTTATTAGTGAAACAGATGGGTGAAGCGAGCATCTCTGAAGCGCTAACAGAGAGGTGATATTTCCAGAACGCAAACGTTGGAGTGATAGTTGGAGAAGAAGAGCAACGGAGTTGTGCGGCGTGAGATCGGATATGGGAAGCCACCGACAAGCCACATATGGCCAGTGCGCTGACTCCGCATTTCCTAACCTCTGCGACTCTCCTGACTCCCACGAAACCACGATATGCAAGAGTTGGATCTCCTATCTAAAATTCATAGCTTCCTCTAGTAACGCGGAACGAAGGCTTTGCCTCTTCGAGCGCATTTCCGACAGCAATACGGCTTGTCAT